AGACACATATTAGAGAAATTGATCTTGGAAAAAGAAGCTTCCTTCTGCCCATTTGGCTGCAATGTTCATGCAGTAATTATATCTAAGAATTACAATCTACCTTGACTTGCAAACATGTCATTATACTGTTTGACTTTATGTGGTCCTCAAAGATCTTATGATGCATAATATTATGTTTTCCATGGTCTTTCCATAGCCAGTTCTTATTTTTCCATTTGTCAGTCTGCATATGACTCTTGCTCTTGATCATATTTGTCAGTGCTGATGTACACCAAGTCAGTATTATCTAAATGAACACTTTTAGATAAAAAGCTTCCCCAGAGTCACATCAGCAGAGCTATCTGAACAAACAACTCTCATATCAGGTTTGTCAGCCGCAATTATTAAGCTAAATAACCACAACCCTGTGGCTTTTAGCTAATTGAAAACTGAGCAGGTCAGGTTTGAATCGATTGCAAAGAAATGCATCACAGTTTTTAAAAGTCATTTGTGAACATTTCAAAATCAAAGTAAATTTGAAGCTGCTTAGCCTTGAAAACATCATATACAAAGTAGAGATACAAAAAAAAGATGGTAACTATGGTCCATAAGGCCCCGTTTCCAGGCTTTACTGCCATAGCTTCACTGTTGGTATGCTGTTCTTCCAATCAGATCAGTAGACGGTTCCACTTTCTCTTTTGCTCCATCTGAGTGATCATTTATTCTCTCAGAATAAACCAGCCTGTTAAAATCAGAGGCCTTTGAAGTGTGCCTGCTTGACGGCCTGTTACATTTGGTATCCATTCTGCAGATGGGTGCATAGCAAATCCACAGGAAAGGATGATATGAGGTTTCACTCACAGCCACACAGAGACGAGCTGCAGTGAAAAGAGTACAAAGAGCAAATTCACTGTGGGGGATGCAAGAAGGGAGAAGAAGGAGGGGACGGTGGAAAGAATAACGATGGAGACGATATGCAGGGAGATGAGGGTTGCAGATGAAAGCTGGGGGTGATGATACTTACAATGATGAGAGAAAAGTTGAAATATATGGCGAGAAGCAGGCAAAACAAGGGAGGCAGAGAAAGAGAATCTAAGCGATGCTTCCTGCAAAAAACGCTTCTCCAGCGCAGTAAATCATGTCGCTTCACTACATCCGCTCTGTTTTTTTTAACTTCTCACCAGCCTGAAGGCAGTAAACAGGCATGCTGCCTTATTGGAAACAGATGTTAAGTGTTAAAATGGAGTCAACAGAAGAGAGGGGGGATCCTGAGGAGAGAGATCAGGGAAGATGTCTGAGATGTAGCAAAACTTTGGATCAGCGGTGTAATGAGTTCAGTATGCTACTGGTTTCATGTCAGCAAAGCGGGACAAATCTTAATTTCTGTTCTTTATCCTTAACAGATTGGAAACAAAGGGTGCTCTCACCTCAACAGTGAGCGTTCATGTGGTTTCAATTATGTTTGAAGACTCCTAACAAGCATACATCTAGATATGACACATAAACTGGCAGGTCAGAAAAGCTTCACCAATTCAATCTTGCTCTTTTGCAGCACAAAACATCATCTGAAACTTTTCTTAAACTTTTTTTACTTATAGCTGAGGTGGAAATGCCGATCAGTCCTCCAACTGAAACACTCTCATAGATGGTTTGCTCTAACCCAAGATGCAGGAGGGAATTATGACTCAGACGAACATTTTTCCATCATAGCTGACATGAGTGTCAAGTGTTTCAACTATTGCCCTTGTGCAAGATGAAACCAAATGTATGCTCTGTTAGTAGCATTTATTAGAGCACTTTTAACCCTTCCACCTAGTGGCAATAACCAGTCTTGCACCCTAAAGACTGTGCTGTGCTCGGCTATGACTTTGCCCAACCTTTACCTTTCCATCCACCTGTATTACAACAGCTGCACAGGGCACAAAACAAATACAAATGCCCTGTTTCCATTTCTGTGTCCTCATGATTGAAGATTCAACCTTTTCCATTTTTGATGAGCATCTGCTGATGTCATGTCACAGACTAAGTTTTCAAATCAAACATCAGCAGTGCTGTGGGTGAGTCTTGCTTTTATATCCATTTAAAATCAGACCTTATTAATTTGTTTTCTATTCAGGTTCTTTCACAAATAATCACAAACTAAGCATGGCACAAAGTAAACAGGAAAACAAGTTAAAGGTTTTGATAATTATATGTATGACTGCCCTAGATATGCAGTAATCCATGACCCAAATAAGAGTATCAGTCCAAACACCCCTGTTTATTCCGGTCATGCCAGAATATTGGGTGTTATCAATGTCAACAACGAAATCCATGCCCCCCTTGAAATATATTTGTATACAATACATAAACAGAGTATAAATGGTGAGGACTGCAAAATACCAAATAAACAGCTCCAGAATAATTTTGTGAGACCCAACAGAAGACAACTTTTAAATACACGTAAACATATTAAAATAGCTGAAATAGAATTTTTCCAAGTTTTACTAACACACCAGTGAATGTAACATTCAACTGGACTCAAACTGACCAAAGCATTCAACGCCACATGCTTCAGTTTCCACAAATACGCTTTGACCAATAAGAATCCGAGGGAAGCCAAGAAAATGGATCTGACAACAACAGACAACAGCATGAATAAAAGTAGCTGCTCCAATTGTGATTGATGAAATGCTTTAAATGTCCATTTCACAGCTTGACATTATAGTAACTGGTCACCAACTCAGTGACAATACCTGATTAAATTAAACAAGAAATGTGTAAAGCCCAGCATCCTGGCCATAGGCATACACACAATTACAACAACAACTCGTTAGGCATGTTTAATCCACTATGAGGGAACGGATCACTCTCCCTTAATCCAATCAACATCAGCTTTTACATGAGCATTCTAACAGGGGATGAAGAGGTGAATTGGCACTGAACCGAAGCCCAGAAATCTCAAACTTTACCTTGCAATGAACGAAGAATCCTAAATTACTAAATCAACTTTATTAACGCTTTCGGGGAAGTATGTCATTTGTTAGGGGAAGCATCTTAGAAAATATATTCAGGCGAGCAAAAGTTTGGGCACCCCTGGGTAATTAATTAATTTCTTATTAATAAGACTCAATTCCTCTGCTTGCCCCAAAAGGTTCCTAGTTTTGTGAGATTCTTTGCTAATCCGGCGTTTGTTGCTTTTTGAAAGATGTTTTTCAGTCATTCTTGGTACAGCAGTCAGGGCAAAGCCGGATTACGTCCATGACAACTCATGAGGTGATTTCAGGATCATCATCCTGTTGTGGAACCCAACAGCTCTTTTGTCTCGTTTGTTTGGTTTCAGAATTAGTTGATATGTAATGGAATCCAGTCTTCTCTTGAATAGCTAAATCTCACCTCTTTCTGCGGCTAAGCAAGAGCTCAAAGCATGATCCATCCACTCCCGTGCTTGACAGTTGCATAGTGCTCCTTCTGATGTTCCAATTCAGAGACAAAAGTCCACATATTTATAGCAATTTGCAGAGGAGTGTTCTTTTTTAAATAATTTCCCTCTGGGATTATTAAAGTATTTCTGATTCTGATTCTGATTCTGACTCTTTAAGTTAATCCCTATGTAGGTGAGTGTACCACCCCTACATGATCTAATAGATAATGCTGAATGCCTATATGGTGAGTTGCATTGTTGAAATAGTTCTCTTAATTTTTTCCACCTCCTCCAGGATGCAGCTCGACCCCTTTAACTCCTTGATACCAAAGATCTTGATTAAATTTCTGTGTGTTTATCACGTTTTTTAAAATTTTAGAGTCACAGCTGCTTAGAGCCAATGATTGTCGGGGTTGGAAAAGTCAGACTATTCATCTACTTCACATTTCCCCTTCCTATCAGAGACTGTTGTGTTCTGAGAGAATTAATGTCCAAGTGAGCGCAAAACGTTTAGAAACTTGTGCATGACTCACAGCATCGTTCACTCTTTCTGTCTGTTGAAACCAGTGGAGTCAAACATCTGTGGTGCAGACATCCAACACACACTCACATTAAGACTGCACGAGCAGCGCACACTGTCTGCACAACAGCCTGAGCTGCACAACACACAACCTCACACTGCGTTGTCCATTTGTGAAGAACCAACTAAAAACTGTTCATCCAGTTTATTGCAATGAAATGTTAAGAAACCAAAATCCAGAGTCGATTATATTTTAAATCATCGACCACGAAGGCCACAGCGACAGACACTGAAGTGCACAGCATCAGATAGGATCTCTGCAGCCGTGGAATATGAAGAAAAACAACAAGAAAACGAGCAACAACAGGGAAAAGCTAGAAGGAACATACCCATTTTCCAGCTGCGTCCGTGGAAACTTTTCCCTGAGTCTAACGGTTCCCGAGAAGCAGCCCACAGGTTGTTGACCGGCTGGCAAGGAACTAGACGTCCCGATCTGGAATCGGGGAGGAAGGGAGGGGGTGAGGGATGGCACCGCGGCAGCGAGCAGAATGGGATCAGACTTCTGTAATCCAAACGGGCGAGTGTCTTCATCGGATCTGCGTGCCATTTTACAAATAGAGATAAACGGGAAAAGAGCGCCGCATCCTCGAACAGTTTAGCTCCCCACCAGATTATTTTAGTTCCCTCCTGCACTCAATTTATGAATATGGATGTAGATAGATAGATAGATAGATAGATAGATAGATAGATAGATAGATAGATAGATAGATAGATAGAACGTTGTCATTCGTCTTTATCCCAAGTCACATGATGATTAGATTGGATGTTGACTCTTATTTACAGTTAGATGGGAATCTGAGTTCTGTGGAAACTACTCAAAAGCTGCCATTTAATGAAAAGGTTTAATAATTTATTTATCAATTAGGCTGGTATAGGTTGATGTGGGTAACCTATTAATTGGAAAACAGTTGCTGCAACGTGACTTCCATTGGCTACAAAAGCAAATGAAAGAATCCTTTGAAGTGACAGCAGGACCATTACTGTTGGCCTACTCAATATGCCAAACAAAAAGGCCTTTGGTGAGGAGTTTTCAGGGTTTGCAGGGTTGATTTGACCAGGCTTTACAAATTAGAGGACAGGCTGAAGGCAGATGGATCCACAAATAACTGAAGAGGGCTGCATTAAGAGTCAAGAATTACAAAGAAGAGAGATCACTTGCTACATTGCTCTAGAACTCCAGACAAAATGTCAGAGATGTATTTTAATAAACACTCCAAATATTTTAGACCCCCTGCAAGAACCGAGAAAGGATACACACACCAGCCTATTTATTTTGTATCAGTTTTATCAGCTTCTCTCACAGATCCACAAATAATTACCACTGACAAACAAGTTTTATTCAGATCTTTCTTTTAAATATTAAAAACAGAACTTTATTAAATGAGGTTTAAAAAACAGAAAAAAAACAAGATAAATGAAAAGGCAACATCCCCCAGAAAAGCACGAATTCCTCTGAACTGAAGGAGATGTAACTATCAGGGAGCTGTAGCTTGAAAATATCAAAGTCAATGTGTTTGGATGATTGGAACATGAGGAGCAGCCATCGAGGACGGCTTCTGTTTTAGTGGTTGAACTAAGATGACAGGCATCTGGAGAGCTGCAACTGCGTGAAGCCTCAACAAGCCTTGAGGGGACTAGGAGGAAACAAGCAGGCCGGTGTTGCTTGAATACATTGCCATCGTCTGCGGGGGCAGGGCTACTGTCCATCTGACCGTCAGCTCAAAAGAACCCTTTAAAGCAGATTCTAAAAAGAAAATGGTCAAAAACTATATGTGAAACCACGGCCAGAGCAGGGTTCTCCTCGACAGGCTCCGTGGCTGCGCCTGCTGTTATAATTTCAGAGGGATGACCGGCCAGTATTTGGGCTGCTTCAGGTCACAGTTTCTGTCAAAAGTCAGCTGCATGGCCGCCTCCATGGCCAGGATCTTGGCAGCATCCTTGCCATAGAGCTTCTTCATCTCAGCAACGCGTCTCTCTCCGGGGCGCTCGGAGGGCGGGGCGATGCTGCTTCTCCAGGAGACCCTGTGCGGGTCCTGGTCGGCCGGTACGTAGTTATCCTGCTGCTCTGCCTCCATCTGCTGCTGTCTCTCTGCAAAACAGACCATTTTAGGCTTGTAGCAGACACAAGAGTGCGACTTTAAACAGAAATATCTATTCCTCATTAGGTGTTGATGGTAGAAGTTGACTCACTCAGCTCCTCTCTGTGTCTCTCTGTCTGAGCAAAGTACTGGCGGAGCTCCTCGCTGATCTCCATGTTGCTGACGTCGCACTCGATCTCGCTATCCGAGCTGCTTTCCTCGTCTCCTTCCTCCCCGCTTTCCCTGGCCTGCCAGTCGGCATAGCGCCGGGGGCTGCTGGGACTCCCGTAATAAGCCTCTAAGGCCTTTTGGTAAGCGCGCCTGTGCCTTTGGTGCCAGGCCATGGCCTGCTGATAGTGCTTCCAGTACCGGCTGTAGACAGGGCTGGAAAACCAGGACATCACTGCGCTGATATCCTCCTGCCAGAGAAAAGTGAAACATCAGATTTTGAGCTGGGTTTCGAAAACAGCTCACTGCGTTTTGATTCTTTTGAAAGCACAGTGATCACCTTTGAGATGATAAGGTGTCAATCTTTATCTTATGAATGAATACATTACTTTAATGGCTCTTGTTTGTCCAACAGAAAAAAAGGGTTGTTTTGCCTTCACTTCATTAATAATTATGTGCTTCACTTTTTTGATTCACAGACAAAGGAGAAGTTCATTGTCTTACCATGATGGGGCGGCTGACGCAAGAAGGCGAAAATGTAGGTTTACAACTTAAACTTTTCCTCTATTGTATCCGAGAATCTAGCCTCTGTTGATGAAAAACAAAGCAACACAGAGTAGGTTTAACACGACCTGTTTGTTTTCTTAAACATGTCACATTACGTATGTTTAGAAGTGCGTCACAACGCGCTTTTTAAACGGGCTACAAAATAAGTCTGACATGAGCTACTCGAACACACGCGTGAGGTAAAAGTGCTTGCTACTAAAAGTGGGTTACCTCTGTGGCGCTAGCTTGTTTTGAGCATGGTTTTGAGCTCATGACGTCTTCTCGCTGGAGATTTCCCAGCAGTCTTTGCGCCACTCCAGAGTGACTGCTGACCCAGCAGCTCCCCCTGGTGGACGCTGTGTGAACTTTAATCTAGTTCAAATGGTGGACGTCTCACCTGGTTGCTGACTAACTAATCTTTTATTTTCTTTCTCTCATGCTCAACGAAATATTTCCCCATTTATACATTTTTGCAGTCAGAGTACAGCTTTTTAATAGACTGTTTAACAAAATGGGATCTTTTCGTTTTTTCACACGGCCTGATTAATTTCAGCATCTTTTGAAGCAGTGAAGTCGGCACGTTACTAGACGAGTCAGACCAAAGACAAAAATATAATTTGCTGTTGTTGTGGGTTTTTTAAATTTTATTTTGAACATTACTCCCATCATCTTATAAAGCTGTTTTAAAGCTGAACTTATTCCTTTTTGTTTCTGAGCTTTCGCACCATTTGTTTGTGCAGATCTCCTCTAAAATAAATTATATTTGTTTGTATCGCTGACGTGAGGTGCTGGGCTGATCCACAGATTAGATAAAGTTAATGTCTTTCACCTTTGCAGACCCTGCATGCATTTGTTGCATCATAACAATTTAGCGACACTTTATCTACTTTAGTTCACACCTTCCTTTTTGCAGTTTTACCACAACCTATACATTTACCACTGCAACCACTGTTGTTATCACTGTTCACAGTAAGAGCTGCCAAACAGGAAGAGCAAAGCAAGTGGTTTCAGAAGGACCTGCTCTGTCTTGTTCCACAGTAATTCTTCTCTCTGACCCTTTCAGTTTAAAATAATCATTTTGTAATTAGATTTTTGCTTAAAGACCAGCTGAGGGAAAGGGAATTCTGTCTTTATGTTATAGTAAAAAGAAAAATCTGAAAATCTGTCTGTCTTCCTAAATCTGTCGCTTTAGGAAAAAAGTCCTAAGTGGGCTCTAAAATGAGGCAAGTACTTTTCAAGCGCGCACCTTGATGTTCCAATCTTTAGGGAAACTAAATGAAATCTCAAAAGTCATTGAGTGTTCATGCCTCAATATTGCTAATTGGATTTCGGATAATTATTTTAATAAAACCAATAAAATTTATTTAAAAAATTGAAATTCATTTTTAAAAAATTGTTTAATTGCAGGAAAACATGAGCTCTTGCATGATATGTAGCTTGTCCTCAGACATGTAACAGACATTCGAATAGAAGCATTTACACATTTGAAAAATCAGCTTCAAAGTAGAAACTTAAAACAGACCAAATAAAAATAAAATAGATGAGACAATCATGTGATTAAAAGATTGAATGACAAGTCCATATCTTTTATACTAAAATGTGTCAAATTCCCTTCAGATAACAATCAGGACTTGGCTTGGTCAAAAGAGAACACTATGTATGTATTCCTTTATTTCTGATCTATTTTAGCATTAGCTTGTAGCCTCTTGGAAAGGAACAGCTCATACCTCTGTGAACTTAAAGAACAATTGTGATTGCTATGAACGGTGCTGAGGGGTGTGTGTCCCTCATCATAAGACGTACATGACCTGCTTCTGCATCATTGCCTTTAACAGATGCATTAACCAGAATGCATCTGAGTTATTTTACCCACACAACTTTCATCACATCACAACAAACCAGAGTCGTCCTCCTGTAAAACATTAGAATTAGAAAAGAATACAAAATTTAAACCAACGTTGACTTGGCGTCAAATGTTCCGTTTAAAAGATATCTAAACTTCAAAGAGGAATCCAATTATTCATTTTAATGCAAAGTTTACATTCTACAGAACACCTTCGTGCTTCTCTTTTCCTGGACATGAGTGATGCCAAAGAGCAGCACACAACTCACAAAAGACTGAAAACATAATCATAATGTTCAGCTTTGCCTTTTCAAAATCACAAGTGCTCGTTTATTTGTTGTCTTAACTTTAAATTTGAATGAAAATCTTGTGTAGATTCTCCGCCCCGTCAAGACTCTCACCGGCTCATACCTTTGTGAGAGCTGAGTATCTGAGGTTTTTATTTTATGTCCAACCCTCAAAGTGCAGAGCCGTGTTCACAGCCGGGGCAGCTGCTCAGTTGCTCAGATGGATTCAGGGAGGCTGTTGTTGGCTGTGCTTCTGCCGCTAACCTTTAGCACCTTCAACACAGGTATATCTCAAGTAACGACTTAAGATAATGTTCTTCTTTTAAACTTTTTGTGGTTGTTCAGATAGCAATATAGATACTAAATAGACAAAATAGATCATTTAATAATATTTTCTTTTAACAGGAGAGAGCAAGAAGCCTGTTGTGAAAACCATTGGAAAAGAAGCAGATGTCACTCCTCTCTGCAGAAATGAGACACAGAATTTCATCTTATCTGTAGTTTGTAAAATCAGCCCAGAGATGAAACAGAGTGAAGGGTGTACTCTGCTGTACCACCACCTACACGGCTTT